TACTGTGGCGAGATGTCGGCATGTACAAAATGTTGTACCATAAAAATTTGTTCTCCTTCGCAAGAACAGTGAACTCATGCAGCTTTATCTTTCCTCCGTACACAAAGAGCGGAACTCCGAAATTTCTCAATCACTTGCGCTTGACGAGAGTGCAGTCCTAACCTGCGAGCGAGTAGAGTGAAGCTGGCCTACGTTCCCCTTGCATGCGAAGGATGTAGGTAGTCGATACGTGTAGAGAAGGGAGTTACTGCAGATAAGAACAGTGGGGTAGATTACCATGAATAAGTCTTTCTCGGCTTCGAAACCCTGCTTATGCTAGTGGGTCGTTCATCGTGATAACCCAAGGTGAACATATCGAGCTGAAGCGTTCTGTATGTACTCATGAACAAAAATAAGGTGCTGGAAACAAGACTTTCCTTTGCGAACATCGTCTTCGTCGGGTTGGGCTGCAGGACGGGTGGAAAGGGAAGCAAACTTTACTGGTCGTTGTCTCCTGCTATTGCTTCGTCTGCCACTCATGGCTCTTGAGGTGGCGAAGAAGGACATACTGTAAAATCGACAGGCCTCTCCATAAAGCGGCACCTACCAAGGGGCTGCCATACAAAACGTGGTGATGGTATAAGTTCCCACCCTACCCCCTATTGGCTATCGGTCTCTGCGGGCCTTTCTTCTCTCAAAAGACCCGTCTGCTTCCCTAATCACTGAGCTTCTCTGGGTCGCATAATTGCATAACCTCACAGGAGCTACACAGCTGTATCTATCATTACTGCACAGTTTTCCTTGTGTTTACGGTCGCTAGTAAGTGAAATCCTGTAATTTTTTTTGCCTAATTCGTCAGAAAACTGCTAGTTTCAATGTTGTCTGCTGAGCCTACGTCTGATTTACGCACTAGCAGTTTTCTAACAATTAAGCAAAAAAAATTACAGGATTTCACTTACCAGCGTTCAACACTTCCGTAGCTATCACTTTTCTGAGGCTCCTTAAGAATCCTGTCACTGTTGTGATTTTTTCTTTCATTTCTCACTCATCATTGAATCATACAATAAGAATTAATCAACAGTAGCCGCCACTGCTAGCCCCTATAGTGCTGCACCTGACGGATTAGTCAGCGATGTTCTTTTCTCTGTACTTAAGGGATTGGAACAGGTCGTAATTGAGTGGAATCCATGTTAGGAAAATTTTGTGGTCTCCCAGACTCGCTTTTGATTTTTTGGTGGGTTTCCATAGCAGAGTGAAGTCTCGCGTCATCACGAACGAGGCGCCCCGAAGCTAGGCTCAGTCACTTCTCCCGAGCAGTTTCCACGGGGTTCTAGAGCTAAATGGCATAAATGTTAGGCTGCGTTTATACTTTGCGGCAGCGTAGCGCTTCCAGCGTACGCCAGCGGCAGTGCCGGGGAGAGGATGGATATCGATCTAGCGTTCCCAGCGTCACCAGCGTACGCAGCGTTTCGCCAGCGTTTCACCAGCGTTTTGCTAGCGTTTGCAGCGGCAGGGGAGTAGAGACTATGTGGCCGTCAGAGAAGCGC